TTAAAATATTATATCAATTTTGAAAACCTTAATGAAAATTAATAACTTGTCTATTTGGTCAATAATGAAGTTAGATCAAAATGTGTAATCTTTTCATGGGCCCAATTCTTGGAAATAGTCACAGACATTAATGTTGTAGTTGTCTGTTTTTTGCCATCTGCTTTCTTCAAATGTTTCCAAAATCAATGTGTAAGTTGGTTTAAGTTTTCTTAATTATTCTCTTCTAACTTCTTGCATAAAGTTTTGTAGCATATCTGGGATTTTTTTTGTTTTGTTTTGTTTAAAAACCACAGAACAGAAAATTCATGCAATATTCATTACTGAATGATGACCACATCTCCAATATAGTGTGCCTTGCTCAAGTTTCTTGTGTGAAAACACCTCAGCTTTCCAACCTCGTCTTTCTCTTTTGAAACAAATGTTGCTCGAAACCAAGTAGCTTTTGTGTTATCCTTTACTGATTTTGGAATTATGTTCAAGTAATTTTGTATCTGATTTAGGGGAGGAGGAATGAAGTGAGCCGGTGGGTTTTGTGTATTTTTTAATTAGTTTTAGCTTCTGTTTCAATGCCTTCTGGGGCCCCACCATTCATGATTCTTACATCCTTTACATAAGTGTGACTTTGGGTTTCGTTTTCTTGAATTGCTTTGCCCTTTCGAGCTTCTTGCTCTTGTTACATGAACTTCAAAGGCTGCTTTGTGCGGCAAGACCTTTCTACTGACTGCCTTGTAAAGCTGGGTGTTTCCACTGCTTCTGGTGGTACTGTGAAAGGGGAAATTTTAAGTGGAAGCATTGCCTGTGTGGGGTTGTAGTTTTGGGGGCTTGATGGGAGCCTGGTGAGGATGCAGGTGTGTGCATCATGCTGCACTCGTGTGCAGGCTGTCTGCTCCTGTCCCCGTGCCTGCTGAGAGACCTTGGCTTTGTCTTTGGGTAAATCCAGGTGCTGAACATCACCAAATGCACTTTCCAGGGTGTGGCAGTGGTTATGTACAACTTGATACATGCTGCTTTTTAGCTTTTAGCATTCCCACATGAAAAGACTTCCTGAAGGTTTAAATTAATTGCTTCTGAAATACTCCAAGTGTGGAAATGTTGTCTACTTAAAAATAACAATGAGACAAAAGTAAATCATGGTGGAAAGAATAACACCACAAAAAGCTTTGGAGTGTATTGTATTAATGGACAATTTAGCCTTAGCAGCAGCTTTGCACAGATCACTTAAGTTCAGCAGATGAAACAAATTTAAATCCCCTGAGTCCTTGGGGATTACACCACAATGAGTAGGTATAGAAAGGTCAATGCAAAGTGTGGTTGCAATACCTCAGTACTGCTGAGCTGTGTCTTGTACACAAATTGAGACATTTGCATTTGTGGCTCTCAAAACAACTATAACAGGGCCCCTTCCTGAAAGAATGTAATGGTGTTTGTATGCAACAGCACCTTTGATCCTCTGGGATCTTGACTGCTCTGGTTCTCTCTGCAAATTTGGAGATTTTTTAAAATTTTTTTATTTTTTTAATTCAGGAAGGCTGTGGGTAAGCTGCACTCTAAGGTGCTTGTTACTGCCACCTTGCTCTTTTGAGCACTCTTACACCATTCCAGCCAGAGGAAGGGCTCATTGACTTGAGTAAGAGTGCAGTAATTAAAAAACAAAATTACCCTGAGTAATTAAAAAACAAAAGCTGTGCTGGACACATGCTTTCTGACTTATGTGTTGGTCTATATGTATTGACTTATTTGAGAAAGAATTTATCTGTCATGATTGTAGCTGACAAAAGTCAAACTGAACTGTTGCAAAGCAAATGAAAACTGACTTTGTCACTTGTTTATGTAACAAAAAAATTGTGCATACTATGAGTTGGACTTGGAAAGGATGTGTTGAGGTGATTAATTAAATTCTCTATTTCACTGTTTCTTTTTGCACATCCAGGATGAATGAAGCAGGGAACAACTGGAGTTTATTTTGCTCAGAGGCAAGGATCACTTCCTAATAGCACTATCAGCACTAATAGCACTTTATAATAGCTTATTGCAGTCTTGCATTCCTGTTTGATTCCTTTCTGTCTTCATCACCATCCACCTCTTCAGTTCCTCACTGTCATTCAGATCTCTTGCAGCCTGGGATCAAGTTTGACTGATTCTTTTGTGCAAAATGCATTCTGACCTAGGTTCCTATGGACTGTGATTGAGTTATCTCTTAATGTTTACTTGAGAATTAATACTTGCATTGTTCTCTAGTGAAAATAGGTGAAGCTTGTTTCCTGCTTTTTCATTTTAAAAAAAGTCCCATTTTATGCTTCTCTGCAGCTGTGTTTGTGGAGATCTGGGGGGCTGACAGATGTAATTGCTGGCTTGTTCTATGCTGTAGCAGCTTCCAGTGGTCGCATCCCTGCCATGAGCTATCAGTGCTGCTGAGTGATCCCATCCCTTTCCCAAACAGTGCTGAGTGCCTCTTGTTTGTGCTGGTGTGAGACAGTCTCCTCTGAGGTGATCTGATGGAATGTCCTCTCTGTTCTGTGTGGAGCTGTCCTGGAGCTTCCACATGGTCTGCAAGCTGTGTTCACCCTCTGCAGCATCCTCTGATGGCAGTTCCTATTGTGTGCTCTTGCTTCATGAACTGGAGCTGCTCCCTGTGCACCCTGATCTCTATGGATACCCATCACCTCTGAGCTGTGTTAGTGTCAAGGTACTGGATGAGAGCTGCTGAGTTGGCTTCTCTGTGTAGTGTGGCAGGAAGGATGTGTGTTGTAAAAGGTGATGGTACCAGTCCTGCTGGGCTGGCACTGAATATCTCAAGGTAGAGCAGTTCAAGTTGGTGATCCATAACTGACCCTGGGATATGGTCCTTGTAACAATTTTTTTGGACATCTTTACCCATCTGAACTTGAATGATTTACTGCCAATTCTAGCTGAGAGCAAACTGATGTGGATGACAGGTGGTGATGTCAACACCCCAGTTTTGCACCCCGTGCTTGTTTTATTCAGCAGTATAGATGCAGCCAGTAAAGATGAGGTGTTGCTCTGAGAAAATGAGGAGCTATTAAGTCTTCATAGCTTCCCTGTAACCTGTTTGTTTGTAACCTGGTTTGTCTTGTGTCCTGACAGGTTGTGTGGTAGATAAGAGCTGGATTTGATTTCCAGCTTAACTGGTAGAATTCTGGGGGATTGGGGGAATGTCACCCCTTAAATTTCAGTTTACCCAGTTTCAAGACAACCATGATGGTACTGACTTAAAATTTTACAGTGCTTTCAGATCCCAAATGGGCTGAAACAAAGGCCTGCAAATGGATGTGACAGCTCACAGTCTGTGCAATTAGTAAATACAGTCAAGTGGGGAATTTGAGGTTCTTAGTGATGCCATAACAACCAAGTTACTTGTGTTTGAGGTACGTGGTCAAGGTTCCTGCTGGTAAAAACCATTAGGGTTTTCCTGCCTTGCTCTGTTTTGTGGGTTGTGATCATTTGCATGTGACCCTGAAAGCATGACTTGACTGCTGCCTGCTCTTCAAAGGGTTTCAGATGCTATTGTTGATCTTTATCTCTCCTTGTCCCACCCTCACAGTGTTTTTTGGCGTTTGACCTTCTACTGGGATTATCAAATTTGTTACTGAGAAATTATGATTATGCCAAGAGACTGGGTCATCTTCTGAATTAGATACCCTTGAAATTTCAGTGGCCTGGATTTGGTATCTGGAGGGGGTACTTCTCTCTCCTCAGCTCTTTCATCCTGGTGTTTAAGAACATCAGTTGTTTGTCCAGTGTTTTCAAGTGGTAATACAGGCTGGTTCAAATGGGTCATATCACCATAAACAATAAAAAGAGGTGGAAAAGAGAATGAGGAAGATCATTCCTAGAGAAAAACCTTCCCTTAGTCTTGCTCTTCTTAGAAATTCTTGTGACAGTACTCTTGGCAGGAGAGCAGAAGAGGTGAACACCTTTGCAGTGGAGAGCAGACAGGGTCAAGTGCTGAGATGAAAGGAAGGAGCAGGGCTGAAATCCTCCCCTGTGGAGCAGCAGGCTGCACCTTTCCATGGCTGGCTGATTAAAGGGAGTGTTGCTCTGGGTGGATAGGAGAGGAAAAACCCTGGCCTGTGTTCCTTCACCCTGGGAAAACCAGCAGGCTCGTTTGGGTGGGCTCTTCATGGGGATTCCATTCCCGTGTCTTTGGTTACTGGCAGCAGCCTGGGAGAAGATGATGTGCCAGACTGCATCTTTCTTCCCAAAATCATTATTGGAGCATGCTGATAGAAATTGTGGGAGCAGCGAGATTGCGTCTTGTCAGCTAATGGTCGGTGCCCTGCCCATCTGTGAGGGAACACTGTGCTGCCCTGCTGGGTTCCCCCATGTTCTGTGCAGGGAGCTGCTGCTGTGCTTCCCTGGTGCTGGCAGCCTCCTGGTCCTGCAGTGTGCCAGGAAGAAGTTCCCTCCACACCCTCTCTGGTGCCTGCTGTTGAAGTTGCTAACCATGTTGTTGGGGATGCTGAAGAGGTTTCTGGTAGATTCAGACCAGTGATGGTGAGATATGTTTGCTTGGCCTTGGGGAAACTGGGGAGATTATTTGAAACGTGGGCTCCTGTTTTGAGGATGGCTTGTATGGGTTCTGCATGCTGAAAGCATCCTTGAAGCCTAGTGGGAAGCATAGCACAGAGATTTGATTTTGATTCAGAGATCCTGAATACCCTGAGTGTATTGTTTAGATTGTTTGATCAGATCAAACAAGTGTTTGAGAGTAACTGATGTAATTGGCAATTATTAGACTTCCGGCTTAAAAGGAATGCAAAGTCCTGGCAACATTTTTAGAATCATGTTTTGGTGATGCAGCTGAAATGAGTGAGTTCTTGATCACAAGGAACTTGGGAGCAATTCAGTATTCCTGGCACCCTAGCTAAGAATTGCAGTCTTCTCTGGGAAACAAAGTTGTTGCTCCATGGATGTCCTGTAAACTTTCCTTCAATTCAGCAAAAGTTATGATAACTTTTTCTTTTTTTTTATTTTTACAGCAACACTGACTGACAATAACTTTATCAAGCTGAAAAGTGATCCTTCACCTCCTGTGCAATGGTGTAAGGTGGCTGCACATGAAGATGAGAAGACCAAGCTGGTTTTTAAAAGGTACTCGCAAGTAAGTGTCATTGTCACAGCTACACAGAAGACAGTTGTTCTACCCCCAGCCTGGGCAATTACAAAATGGATGCAGAAATCAAGGCATGGGATTACCACAGGCTGTGAATGGAGGGTTAAGCACACAGCTTTCTGTGGGACACTGAAAACACTTTGTGGAGCCCAGGCTAACTTGTAGTACCTGTTTTCCCCAGCCAAAGTGAGAGTCTAGTACTTCACTCACAAGTATTTCCAATCTTTTTTGTATGCAGATAAATAACAATGCTGAGACTGATAACTGAGGGAATGGCCAGTGGATGTTGAATGGGTATCCTGGGGAGGTGTTTTTTATATAGTTATTTTGTTGTGAAGATTTCTGGAATGCTACATCAAAAACCTTACTCCATACTCCATTGTTGATAGCTTGACATCAAATTAGAATTAAAAGACGTGTGGACACCTAGATCCAGGACCATATTTTATACCTAAAATGTTCACTACTATGATGCCACATTAATTTTTAGGTCTTAAAGCTAAAAAACCCAAAGACAAACTGTTACATACACAGATGGATATAACCTGGATAGTGCAACCCTAGCTCAATCTGGGGATACTTGATAAATTTCTGGAGGAAAACCAGCCTCATTTGTCAGCTGTGAATTTTCTGCTTTCTGCTTGTTGGCTGATCTCCAGGGGTTGCAGCCTAACGTGTTAATGAAACTCTTAGATCACCTTCCAGTGGAAAATCTAATTTAGTTAAGTGAGATGTGAGAGCAGTCCTGTGTTTCCAGGGGTCACCTTGTTTGCAGTCTGTCCTGCACACTGAGTGCTGGGATTGCATGTTTTGTTCATTTAGCACAAGCTTTTATAAAAAAAAAAATATTGGAAATCTGTATTAACTTCATCTGAAAGAGTTTCAGGAAGCATTGAGCACTTAATAACTTGTACATTTTTTAAAGACATTTAAACAAATGTCCAGTCCTTAGGAAACAATTGGAAATGAGAATCAATAAGAAAGCTCAAACTAAGTACTTGAGCAGCAACCACAACTTTAACCAAATAATGATGTAAGTGTTCTACAGATGGGTTTAAACATGAAATGAGCTAAGTGACATTTTGGGTATCAGCAGTGGTTTTCCTTAGAAATGAGAGATTAGTAACTCAAAACAATGAATAGTCTATGTTCTCGGATTTTAAAGTTGGTTGGACTTTCTCTGCTGCTTTTTTTGGGGGTGTAAGTAACTAAGGCTTTTCAGCCTGAGCATCTAAGTTCTGCAGTCTGGCCTGCCAGTGAGTTGAAAGTTTTGTTTCCATGACCCAAAATCATGCAATTTGAAGTTCCAGCCTTTTTTTCAGCTTGCATGAAAATGTTTTCCAAGATATGATGTTTAAAGAAGAAAAAAAAGTCGCTCTTGGTTTCATTATGTGTGGAGAACTGTTTGACTCATCAGAGATGCATTTAAAGCATATGATGCGGGCATTTTCCTTATCCAGGCATCTGTATGTGTTCATACTTTCCTGCAGATAACTTTGAAGAGTTATACAAGACTTGAAATGAACAAAGCAATAGTTGTTGTTTCTTTTTTTGGTTTGATTCAAATGCAAGTATTCACATGAAGTTCAACTGGCTTAAACATTGATTTAGTAGTTGACTGAATATCACAAAAAGATGTTTTTGTTTTTCTCTCTTATCCCTCACTGTCCTATTTGTTTTCAGAATTCTTGCACTGTTTGTGGTTGGAGGGTGCTTCCTTTATATCCTCAAATTACATTTTGGCCCTGAGGAATGTGACAGAACAAAAATGCCGTATGTGGACCTCGATCGTGTAAGGGTTGGTATTTTTTGGCTTTTTTTTCCCACTTGGCTTAAAGAAAAATATTATTAGTTGACAATGCAAGAGTTATAGGGCGCTGCAACAAAGAGTTAGAATGCTGAAATTATCTGTTGAGCAGAAGTATATTTTACTTGTTTTCATGCCATAGACATTCTGGTTTTTGTTCTTGTAAAGTGATGACAGAAGCACGTAGAGAAGCTGAGTTTTTAGGGTTAAAATTAGATAACTGACTTTAAGCTTTGAAATGGACATGCCATCATCCCATTTTGTCAGTGCAGATGATACTGGTGATCAGAAGATTGATGCAAATGAAAAGTAACATATTAAAAAACCTAAAACAACCCAAACCTAACATATTAAACCAAAGGGTTGTTTTGGTTTTTTTATTTTTTTTTTTTTAACCTAAGCCAATTTCCCAGTCTGCTTTGCTTTGTAATTGCTCAGATGTTTTTGGAATCGCATGGCAAATGTCCAGGAGGGTGCAGCTCCTCCTTAATAATAATTTTTTTTATTTATTCATTCAAGGTAGCAGCTACTTACTTTAGCTACAGATTTGCAAGCAGCTTTTAAAGAGGTGTAACAGATGCCACCTAAGCCTTTGCTACTCTAACTATTTGCACTTTATAGCAGAACTTACCTGGCTTAGGGCTGTTACATTTCTGTCTTTGGATGTCTCAATGCTAAAAGGGAACTTCCCTTTTAGAGGAAGCCAGCAGAGACCCTGGCTTAAGACCATCTCATCTTAGCATTACTGCATGTGCATCCTCCCCCACTTGCCATCATCTTCAGTGCATATCTTTCCCCTTCTGAGCCTCTTTACCTCTCTTTTTTTCTCATTTGGCTTACTTATTTTTTCAATAATATTCTTGATTCTGAAGAACAAGCATGTTAAACCAAGCAAACCTGAAGACTTCATGGACTGTGTTTATTGCTATCTCAAAAAGTTTATTGCTTCTCCAAAGAAGTTGCTCAGTCATGCTTTGCCCAGTGTGGTGTTTATGCAGAAACCTTCATAATAGTGGTAGAGGAAGTTCTGTAAGTCAGTCTTGGTTAAAAAAAACAAACCAAAAAACCAGCAGCAGAACTTCCCTCCCTGTTCCCTTAGATACACACTATTATTAACAGTAGATTTGAATCTTGTATCTCTGACCCCTGTTTGCTCATGGGTTTTTTTTAATTACAGTGGAGGAAAAACCAGCAGAGTTGATTGGGAAAGATATGATGCAAACAGGATTTTATTTTAGCTGATAAAAGCAATACCTTTGCTGTTCCTCTTTTTACATCAGATACCAGCTTGCCACTACAGATTTCTAAAAATGTACACTAATAGTGCTTTGTTTCTATTATGAGGTGATCAGTGTGTAGTTTTGTCTGTCACTTTAATATTTTTATGCAATATGGAACAGTAGTCTCTTATTTTGGAGATCAGTCTTTAAAAGAAGGCCTGAAACACCCCCTCCTGGCATTCCTTTTAAAGTCATGTTTTAGTCATTAGCACTTTAGCAATATTTATGGAAGAAGCATTGCTTCATTCTGGTGAATAAGCAAGTCCAGCTGCTGTTGCACAGAACTTTTATCCAATGGATGTATCTGGTGGATCTCTGGTGGAATCCTACCACGGGCAGAACTCAGGTCATGCAACTGAGCAGAGTGAAATTCCACTTGCTGCTAAATTGGACAGATAGAACTATGTCTGGATTTTTTTATTTGGTGTTGCAAATGGTACTACAAACAGCTCATTTTCACTTAGTGCTTCTACTAGCCTAATATATTCTTTAGAAAGCCTCATACCTAGATTTAAGGGACTGAGTGGAGTGGAATTCCTCTGCAGGTTTTCACCGTGCACTGGCTCATATCTACATTTGAGTAAATGCTTTAAAATTTCTTTACTTATTCTTTCTTTATTACCCCTGTGTTTGCTAAACTGCTGGTGGTCAGCTGGTGGGCCACATTCCGAGGGCTTTGTGCATTCCTGCATTTCCTGGCTGAAATCTCATGTGTTTTGTTTCAGAGGGCACAGCAATTTGCCAGCGCCGTACTGCAGGAGCAGTGCCGACCTTCTTACGCGAAGAAAGAGATGGGAAAGTTGTTTGCAGAGAAATACAGCATGGACATATCTCCCTTTGTGAGGAAAAATATAAATGAAGATGAAGCTTTATTTAAATATGAACCTCCTTTTGGATTTCACAAGTTCTTTGATACACTTAAAGATCTCCTTGAACTCTTACCTGAGCATGATTTACCAGAAGATTTGAAGTCAAAGCACTGTAAGCGTTGTGTTGTTGTTGGCAGTGGTGGGATTCTTCATGGATTAGAGCTAGGTCACTTATTGAATCAGTTTGATATTGTTATAAGGTATGTATTTTCCATTTAAGGACTGTCCTTAAAAGAAAGGAATTCAGTGTAATTATTTGTGGACTTCAGGTACAAAACTCACATGGGCAGAAACTAGATAGAAGCTAGTGACATCATAGACAGGTAGACAGTACTGGGTTTATCCTTTCACATTTTAAAGCTTTCAAATCTTAAACATCAGGATGTAAGGACTCACCTTGGCTTTTTTCCCCATGGCTATTTTGAATGCTTATTCGAAAGATTTTTTTATAACAGCTATTTCAAACACAATAAAATTTAAATTGGTGTTTCAGTACACAGTTTGCTTACACACTTTATGACACACTTATATTCCCTTATCTTTATGAGGTCAGTGACTGCTTCTATGATTGCTTTGATTTCTGACATCTGAATAACATGCTCTGTATTTATGCCTTCTGAAAAGTATAATTTAAACCTTGTTTTGAATCATGTGAAGTCACAAATAACATAATACAAGCATTTTCTCAACTTGTTTTGTAAATTAAGGCTTGTTCCTCTTATTAAGGGAATATTTGAGTCAATAGCCCTTATTAAAAGGTAAACAAACCTGTTAGCATGTGGAGGGGCAGAGAACTTGTATTAGCTGTCCTCTGAATTTAGGGCTGCTAAGATTAAGGTGATTTTTCTGTTGATGTGGAGAAATTTGCAGGACTTGAGCTCTTCTGCAGAGCTCATGGAGGGAGGTGATTCCATTTTTGTCAGCAGTATGCCAGCATCTGTTTTTTTGCTGAACAGGGGATGATATAAACCCACAGGATGCGTTACATTGCATTGGAGGGATAATTTGTATGACTTTTTGTGTGGAATACTCATGAGTGTGTGTGTATATATAAAAATATATAAATATGAAAAGGATAACACAGGCAACTTTCTGTGTGTTTTCTTCCTGTTCTACTTTTAAGCCTCTCTGAGTTGACACAAAGCAAAATATATGAAATTCTGCAATGCTGTCTTAAGTCACTTTACTCTTCAAGCTTTTCTTTCCAAAGTTCTGCATTTGTGCCATTTAATATAGAAATAGAATTGGCTTCCTCCCAAAGAGAAGGACTGGAAGAGTGAGTGAGGCAAGAACATGGGGGTTGTAAGAAAACACCATAGTATGCTCAGTTAAAAATCTGTGGGCCAAAGAACAAGTTTTTGCTTAGTGTCTGATATTTTAATGAGATTGTAACCTGTTTATTTAATCTCTCCATTGTGGATTTCTTTTCCCCAGGTTAAATGATGCGCCAGTTCAAGGTTACACGGATCATGTTGGTAACAAAACAACAATACGGATGACTTACCCCGAAGGAGCCCCCTTTTCTGAACATGAGTATCCTCCTGCAAGCTTGTTTGTGGCTGTTCTGTTTAAAAGAGTTGATTTCAACTGGCTTCAAGCCATAGTAAAAAATGAAACCTTGGTATGTAAAGTGACAGTCTCACATACCCGTATTTTTGTTTGTTTTGTTTTCCAATACTTGAAGAAGCTGATTGATCTGTTACTTCCTGGTTTATTGTGCTGAGGATCTTTTATATAACCTTGTGGGGTTTTTTTAGCTCTGTCTCCTAGTTACAGTTGGACCAGCATTTGTGTTGAAGCCCCATGCTGACAGTAGTACTTCTTTTTTGGGGCGATATTGGTGGTTTGCACCAGGCTACGTGATATACTGAATGTTTACTGAAGTGGAATTCATTTCACATTTGGTTTAAGTGACTGCAGAGCCCAAAATAGAAATGAGATTTTTGAATGCCAGTCCATTTTTTTAGCAGCTGAAGTCTGTACTGCTACAATGGGCATACACAGAGTTAACATAATTGAACATTTGTCTGATACTCCTAAATTATGAGGTTGTTTATATTTCACTAAACATTTAAAGAAGTGCTGAGATTCCTGAGGAACTGGTGGAAGGGTTTGATGTTTCCAAATTATTGTGAATTGGTGGCTTCCACCTCTTTCAATCTGCAGAGAGATAATTTCAGAAAGTAAAAATTACTGAGAGATATTTAGAAGGCCTGTCAAGTCTTTTAACAGTTTGATGTATGCTAGTTTAGGTACTCCAAATTCCCTTCTTAATTGTGATCTTTACAACATGAGAAGGTCTGTTAAATCTTGATCAGGACTGTCTACTACTGCACAGAAGAGCCAGGAAGATGCATAAGGGACTGGAGCATCTCTGCCATGAGGGAAGACTGACAGAGCTGGGAGTGCTTAGCCTAGAGGAGAGAAGACTTTTGGGGGATCTTATTAATGTATATAAATACCCGAGGGGAGAGTACAAAGAAGATGGAGCCAGGTTCTCTTTGGAGGTGCCCAGTGATGGGACAAGAGGGAGCTTGTCAAGTTGAATGTCCATCAACATCTTTCTAACAGTCATCTAGACATGGTCTTGAACATCTGACTCGAGGTGTCTGCTTGAGCCAGAGGAGCTGAACCATGTGATCTCCCTAACTTCAGTGGCTCTGTGATTCTGTGAGCTGAAACCCTACTTACTTCAAATACTCAGCTGTCAGTTGGCTCAGCTCTCTCAGGCACTGGTACTGAAGTAAACTGATCCAGAGCATGGTTAGGAAAACGGGAGCACTGCAACCTGTGTTTGATCAGTTAAGCTGTTGTTCCTTAAAGCCTGTTTAAATAAATACATGTCTATGTTGGAGCTGGATCAGTTTTATCATCGGCTTACTGTTGCTGATTTCATGGAAAGACTTGTAGAATTAGTGTGATGTAGTATTTTTTCTTCCATTAGCAGGCATCTGACAGCAGTGGCATGAGATCAGAATCTGGGTTTCTGAGTCCTGTGTAAATCCTTTTCTGAAGAGTTGCATTTATCACTGGGTGGATGCTGTCAAACAGCAGCTTTTCACTTCAGAACTTGAACACAATTGTTTTAAATCCAGTGCTTGCTTCAGAATGCCTGGTTAATGTTTGTGGGAAACTGTGGTTCCCTTCCTCATTTCTTTAAATATTGTTGCCTGCTCAGCTGTGCTGGAGTGGCCCGAAGAGCCCATAGGTGCTGATGAATATGTTGACTGATAAACACAAAGTGCAGTCAAATATTCAGAATAAGCAACTATTCATTCCTTCTGCTGTCCTCTCTGCAATTCCAGGTACTTTGAAGGTTTTTTCCTCTTTTGGGTCAGTCATTTGGTCTATACACTGATATTTCCAAACCACCTTAGCTGTAAACTGTTTCCTAAATTTTTCAGGGTCCGTGGTGATTTCTGTAACTTGTGTATTTGTCTCAGAGTTTCAGTCTGAACTATATCTTTTATTTCTCTTAGCCTCTATGGGTGCGACTCTTTTTTTGGAAGGAGGTTGCTGAGAAAATTCCTTTCACATCAAAGCAATTTCGGATTCTGAATCCAGTCATTATCAAAGAGACAGCTTTTGACATTTTACAGTTCCCTGAGCCTCGATCAAAATTCTGGGGTTGGGATAAGGTAAGAAGTTTCCTTTCACCAAAAGGAGACAGTAAATAACAAGGTAAATAAATTAAGAAACTGAAAAATGTTTTGGGCTTTTCACTTTTTCTGTGCAGTTTCTCAGGTAATAGGGAAATTACTGTGCTCTCAAAAGACTTTTGTATTTACTCATGCAAAATCAAAGTAAGATTTCAGCTCACTTTTTTAGATAAGCTATTTTGCCTCATATTTTGCTGCATGCTGACATGAAATGGCATTCAGAAGCAGTGAGACATAAACTCATTCCAGTGTTTAAAAACTTGCATTTGATGTATGTTAAGACTGTTAAAAGTGGCCCTATTAAGTTAAACCAGCCATTGGCTGTAGTCAGATGTCTCCAGCTGCAGAGAAAGCAGAGAGCCTGGAAACCAGGCCAGTGTAAAGCAGCCTTCCAGCTGCTGGAATTGCTTTGTATGCCAGAGAATGCTCAGTAGCAGCTGATGGGCATTTCCTCCTTCCATGTCCTTTGCTCCAGCAGTGGTACAGAGTGATGAATTGCCTGGTTTAATCATACACTGCAGTTTTGTTTCTTTAATTGCATATTTGAGAAATTGGATGTCACTAGTTGTCTTGTACTACAAAAAATACTAGCCACCATCTTTTTTACATTTTGTGTGAAAGCACTTGAGATTATGGCACAAATATCTGAAGGGTCTTCTCACATTTATTTATCAGAATTATATAATATACCAAGTTGAGTATCTTAATGGTACTGTAGTAAATTTGCCTTCTTCGTGGGTTTTCCACTGAAAAAAGGTCATATTGTAAAGAACACTGAGAGCCTGTTGTTGCTTAAGAATTAAATAAGTTTACATCAAGAAGTGTCAAGTTTAACTCTGTGAGGAGCTGTTTGAATATTTGAAGTGAAGGTTCACTTGCAGTTTAACTACACAGTCATAGGGCATCTTCCCTTCACAGGAAAAAAAAAATTGTGTTGACAGCTAAAAGCCAAATACTTAAATTGCATCACTATTTTGCCCTGGAGTTAGTTTTACTCACTTATTGAATTGATTTTTAGTTGTAGTGTTAATTGATTTCAGTTTTAAAAGAGGAGAGGGAATAGACAAAGTCATTAAATTGTGTAAAGTGTTTATAAACACGATAAAGGACAATATGTTTGAACTGAGCAAGTTACACTGTTCTCCCTTTTTTAGAATGTACCTACAATTGGGGTCATAGCAGTTGTTCTGGCCACACATTTATGTGATGAAGTGAGCATAGCAGGATTTGGATATGACCTGGATCAGCCCAGCACACCTTTGCACTATTACAACAACCTCTGCATGGCTGCCATGAAAGAACAATTTATGCACAATGTGACAAGTGAAACAAAATTCCTGCAAAAACTGATCAAAGAAAAAGTTGTCAAAGACCTCACTGGAGGGATACACTGTGAATTCTGCAGCAAAGACAGCTAGTGACTGACTTGCAGCATGGACAGATTTGTTACATTTCCAGAGGTTCAGCTGGATCAACCCTTTCCCTCTCTTTAGTTCTATAAAGTGTACATGAAATGGATGTGGAGTCCCTGCTGCCTTTTTTAATGTCGCGTTCAAGTTGTCGGACTTTTAAATTAATTTCCCTGTCAGATTTTACTTTGCACATTTCTGTGAATAGCTGTGTAAATATGACTTGGAGTTGAAAGACATCCATTTAAAGTATTTCATGTTTTAAGTTGTCTGAATAAAAGCAGGGTTTTTTGTTTTCAAATGTATATGGAACGCACATAGCTGGCCTGAATTGTCTAACAGTGTACAAGAGATATTTTCCCCGGATCTGCTGTCTTTGTTGGTCCAGTTCTTGGTATCTTGACTCCTTTTCATGCATGCCATGAAAAGAAAGGCATATACTTCTCAAGTCTTTCATGTCTTGAACTTGAGCATTGCATTTACTCCTCAGATATTTATATTATTTTGCTAATAACATTTTTTTGGGGGGTGAAGGACAAACATAGGAGTGGAGTTGAAGGAAAAGGAATTGTGGCAACAAGTGAGTAGTAAGTACTTTGATGTTCATGGTTGGTATTGAAACCATTGATGTATTGGGTTAGAATCCTGCATTGTGAAGCACATTTGGGCCCAGGGGACTCTGGAAGAGGATTTATCCAGGAGGAGGCTTTAACCCAAAGCAGGTCATTTGCCATTTCCTTTCCTGAAGTCCCACCTAAATGTCTCCAACTAGATTATTTGCAGCAGAATTCAGCTATCCCAATTAAAGAAGTGGCATTAATACAAAATCTGCCCCTTTTTTAAAAATTATTTTTTGAGTGACTTGAGAATTGCTGCTTCTATAAAACACTAGTTTGTATCAATCATTTAGCAAAACTTAAATGTATTGACTAGGTTACAATCTCCACTGGTTAGTTTTATGATCCTTAAATAATGAATTATGGACATTGTTGACTTAATAGTTTGCAATGCTGATAACCCTTGTGAAATCCAGTATTGACTTAAATAGTCAGTTGGAGAAGTAGAGTTGTTGGTTTTCCCCCAAGTCAGTAATTGGGTGAGTGTATAAGTTAAGAAGAAAATCACTTTAAGAAAGTAGCATAATCCAATAAAAAGGTGGATAACTGCTGATAACAGCAAATGTAATAAACCAAAAGAGAAAAGAAAGCTATAGATGTATATTCTTGGTGGTGGAAGTCAGTGCATTGCAAAAGCACTGGGCTGTGCAGATCTGTAAGCAAGGTTTTTATGATAATATTTTTGTTACTAGTAGAGTATCAGGTATGACTGTTTGCACTGAGGAGTGGTGTTAATCTATAGTATGTGAAAAAAGCTTCCTTTGGGAGTGAAAACTTGTCAGCAAATCAATCAAATGTTGGCCTAGAAACATTGTTCATAGTCATGGACTCTTCACATGGTGAATGTTCCCACTTTTCTTTGTTATGGACAAGGATATGAATGAAATTGTAGTTCCAAATTTTATACTTGTGGAAAATGCAAGATTAGGGTGGTTGTGTTTTGGGTTTTTATTCCCTGGAGAGAAGATCTAATGAATTCTAATGTTAGAATGCAGGAGCAACAGACTGATGCTCACTGTTATACTAAGAGGCAATAAAAGGACATCAGCTAATGAAACATAATTGAAGAAAGTTGTGGACTTCATCTTTCTGAAGTCCCGTGTGTCCATTAAATTCAGTTGTGGGAGCTTGAACAAATTTAAAAATCAGGAATTCTTGTTTCTGGCACTGTGTTCATAGCAATAATATTAATATAGCCTCTTCCTCCATGAAAAATATTAATTTTTATACTAGCAATAAATTTCTAGTCTGGTTTTTTTTTTGTAAGTATATTATATTATTTAAAAATATTTCATGTGTGAAGAGAATTATTCAAATAGTCCTTTAGTTAATATATTAAAATGTGGTAAGTATTCTCTCCTGGTATTTAAACTGGAAGCAGAATACCTTAATTTCATTTAGTATTTATGAAATTTTGGAAGATTTCAGAATGTGTGTGTTGGGAGGATGTCTTGAATGCACTAGAAGTCTGTGTTTCTGATCACCTGGTCCCTCACCACTTAATTTTGTTCAGCAACTTCAAAATAATCAGTTGATTAATGTAAATGCCAATAGCTTTTTGGAGGTGCTGTATTTACTGTCAAATTTGCAAATTGTAGATTTCCTACTTGTATCATGGCTTCTGGCAAAACCTTGTTGTCTGTGGTAGTCTTTGCAGACTCGACACTCTGTGAAATGGCAGCAAAAAGCAATAAACTGATGAAACCACTTTCTACTGATGTATTTGTTGCTCAGTTTTATATTTCTTCTCCCTCCTTTATTAAAGATTTTACGTGTCTTGCTGATCCAGTTGAAAGTCCTGATGCAATTCCACATACCCAAAACCAGGGCAGATGGTAGCTGGCAACTTTTTCTCTGTTCATTTATGCCTTTTTAATGCCTATCAGTGGAATTATCTGTCTGGTGCCTGGAAGAGAGAAACCCCTCTTGACACTGACCAAATTGTGGGCTTCCAAGATTGTATGTGAGAACATTTTGGACTGGGTTATAGCATTGGCCTTAAAATCATGGGTGTGTCTCCTACAATGGTGTAAACACTGCAGCTTCTGGTCTGTGCCTCAGCCTTGCTGGAAGTGAGATAAGAAGAAAGCTCTGTGTGTTCTGTTGCTATTTCACAGATTTATACTTTGCAAAGAATCTGCATCATCCTTTGTAAATAGGCCTTAATAGTGTTTGGTTAAAAAGTCACCAAAGAGTTTGGGAGCTGTGATAAAGCCATTGTGTTCTGCACTGAATTCTTCTTTGTAACTCTCTGTAGGAGCTATCACAGCCAGGGACATGCCTTATCTCTTCTGGTATTAATTTTTCCATGGTTCCTGTGCAGGAAGTTGCATAAGGAGACATGAAGAGCTGCCTGACTGTGGAATGGGGAAGTGCCAAAAAGAGTCACTGCAGCCTGTGATGGGTTGGCATTGAAACTGGGTACTGAACTCCTAGGGACTGTTGAGGTGCTGATAAAGAGCTGAAGAGAGTTCAGCCTCTCCAGTGCATGGATGTGTGTCGATAGCTCCAGCTCTTGTGCTGCTGCAGGAACTCCTGCAGGAAATGGGAGGGCACCAGGGGAAGCAGTTGTGTAGCACGAGTCTGATCCTCTTGCTTGTGCCAAGGGCGGATGAAGGAAGAGCATCTCTGTTGAGACCAGCTCAACTGCTGTGCCTGCCTTCCTCCAGCCTGCCAGCAGCAAGGTTTTGTACAAGTGCTTGATTCTACCAGCTTAGGAAAAGGTTCTGTCCCCAGAGGGTGGCTGGGCACTGAACAGGCTCCCCAGGGCAGGGGTCACAGCCCCAGCCTGACAGAGCTCAGGGAGTGTTTGGACAATGCTCTGGGGGATGGTGCTGTGCAGGGCCAGGAGCTGGACTGGATGATCCTTCTGGCTCCCTTTCAACTGAGGATAGTGATTCTATGAAATGTATGTACAGCCTGGTCAAAAGAGTTTTGAGCCATTTGGCATCAGGCTTGTCCTACATCTCCTGAGGTGCTGGAAGATTAACAACCCGGAGTCCCTAAGGGGCTAATGCCCCTAATGCTTTATGTCTCTACTTGTCTTTTTGAGCTACACAAATGGTGATTTTCTTGTTACAGTTCCCTCCTTTCTCTACCTCTGTGACCATTGTGTTTTTCCTAAAAAAACCCTGTGAGCAGAGGCTGAAGCACCCACCCTTGTCCCACATGTGCTGTGAATTACAGATGGGTATAGAGTGTTGTACTTCAGCATGTCCCCAGCCAAAATTGTGGGGGGTTCTGCAAAACTGCTTGCATTTTATAGACGTATAATCCTCCCCACCATTCCCTGGGAAGGAGTTGCAGTGGCTCATAGCTCTGTCCTGGTGTTAGACCTGTACATTGCCATGAGGGAATCCTGCTCCAGCTCTACCTGTGTTCCTTGCTCCTTTCTGTACAGCTTATTCCACCTCTGTGCTCAAAGCAACAAAACTCTTAATTTAAAAGAATATAATAAAAGGGTGACAAAAGATTTTTTTTTTTTTT